TACAACCTAGAGACGCGAGCCACACTAAGAGCGGTTTAACCTGGGTTGGTGCACTGCGCACGCAGAAGAAAGGAGCAGCATATAGTGAGAGCCAGGAGGCAGCGTATTCACTCTCCGAAACATCAGACAAAGAATACACTTCTCACGGAGATCACCTTTTCTCCTTCTGGGCTACTACATGCAAGTGTGTTGTGGAGGCATCCGTTTTTTGCTATGAACTATAGCCAGTTTCGAGTAACAATACGACACAAGTACTCGTTCGGTGGAAATAGTCTAACTGGGGATACTTCAAACGAGTCCCAGCTCCTGTGACTTTATATGAAAGGTTAACATCTGCACGTTACGCAGGAGTTCACTTTTTGCCTGCAAATGACCGTGTTGTATTCGGTTATATTTCATTGAGAAAGTCAGCTTTATTTGTCCTTGGGAATGACGACTTCGAAATTCAAGAATAAGGGCACTTGAACGTGGCCAGTGTTGAAGTGAAAAGAAGTTATAATTGGTTTCAAAAAGGCTTGGGTGGAGTCCAGACGTACTACGTTTACCTCCGTCATCGAACAAAAAAACGCACGGTCTGTTCTAGAGTTCGCAGGGTGCCTAAACTATCTACAAAATAACACCGATCAAAATGTTGTTTATACAACGTATTTGGCTGACGTCAGGTACATTAACTTATGCACCAATCCCATCGTAACATGCTATCTGTGCAGAATTCGTCTAAATTGTATAAACTCTCAGCACGGCGTTTTTCATAAATTACACCAACGATGGATGGTGGATGGTTGTGGTTTCTACTCGGATATTTACTAGCAACGGAAGTTCCGCAGAAACCTCCGGATAAAACACCAACAACACTGGAGACCCAACCTGGAATCGACATCCAGAATCGTCCAGAAAAAATTCCGGATAAAAAGCCGACAGCACCGGAGACCCAACCCGGAATCGTCGTCCAGAATCGTCCAGAAAAAACTCCGGATAAAAACCCAACAATACCGGAGACCCAACCCGGAATCGTTGTCTGTCCTGAGGAGATAGAGGATGACTCAATAGCTCCCCCTACTTACAGGCTCGTTCGTAACAGGAACTCTAAATCACAACATGTCTGAGTGTTGACCCGCCTGCACTTGTCATTATGGATATTCGAACACTATTTTTCACTTTCACGGCAATTAATTACTAGATAGCAATGATGATATTCGGTTAGTTTTTTGATTTTTTTTTCAAAAAGCAGAAATATTTCCGTTAATATGTGATTACCTTTAAAGGGTGGATGTTGCTATTCACGTCCCAAAAGGTTTAAGAATCCGGCAAGATCCTGCATGATACTGTGTTCCAAAGGGATCAGTCTTCATTGCGAACTATAAGCCGCTTTGTGTAACAATACGCCATAGAGCGCACTAGTGAGCCTATTATTCCCACGAGCATTTTGTAACATTATAATGGTCAATTTTCTGCTTGATAGGATGGAAAATGTTTTCTTCGAAAAATCACTTGTAAACAAAGCTGATTAAATATTTTCCGAAAACTTATAATGTAAATACCGGCAGTCAGTTGCCTAATTGTCCATAGGGTAAAGTCATACATAGACATTTGGCAACGGACAAAGCCATTGCTTTCAATGATGATAAAGACCCCGTTTTACTTATGAAGCAGCTCTATTACTCGTACTGCTCTGAAACTCACGGACTGATTTCAAATGCGTCTTTTGCGAAGTCGGTTGAAAATACCCTCCGCAAGTGACGCTACTCCTTAACAATGAAACTTTTAGAAAAGGACACAAGCTGTGCGCTTACACAGATGATGAGACATGGTGTCGGTTTAAATTCATATTGGTAAGGTTATATAGTACTTTTGGAATCAAAACAAATAAGTGTTTCCACTTGAGGGTTTAGAAAGTTTTTTTGGCTTCAGTTTGTCGAGTTTTCGGACGGCGAGAACCGAGGCAAAACTTAACCTGATTTCTTATGGAGTTTGTGGTTTTTGTGGCAGATGGTTATGCATTTGCACTTCCCCGGACCAGTTTGGGCTACACACTAGGAAATTATGCTGTTATGTGCTATAGGCTGTCATCCCCGGCAAGTTACTCCTATCCCATTTCAGTCCTCGATATTGGCTTCCATGAATATTCCATCATTTGTCGTTTGACACACTGTCGTGCCTTTATAAGAAAGTTCAGTGTCTCCTTCAGAATATTTATTGGGATGGGTTGTACGCAAAGCAAAAAAGTCAGGCCCTAAAATATTGGGTCATTTTATATAGCCTACTAATATAAATGAAATTAAGGAGAGCTCGTTAATATTTTGACACAGGTTTCTAATCATGTGATGGCCAAAAATCAATTCAAGTAGCGTCGGTTCGGTGTGCCTCTAAATACCCCTCATGAATTAGGTAGAAAAGTTCAAATAAACTTCAGATTTTACGAAAAGCTTTTTGCATCATCTTAATGACATATAGGAGTGCACAATTGTCATTAAACTGAAAGCTTGTAGATCAAACGTCTTAAATGCAAATGCAACTGCATAGTAGATTTAAAATTTTGAGAATAAGAACATTTGTTGAACACCGAAATCATGATTTTATTGGTCTGAGTATTCGGGCTCCCGTAGGAGTCCATTGTCAGAGATGGGGAAAACAGTAACAAATTGGGTGGCTACTTGTGACGTGTTTACAAAACAACTAACATTTGAACATTTTGAAAATCAATAATTGTGTGTTGTAGACGCCGACTCGCCACTGCGGACTATGTCAGACTGTGCTAGTAGGCCCGATCGGCGTGTCATCAGACCAATAAAATAATGACTCCGGTGTTCGATAAATCTTCTTATTCTCAAAATATACACGTTTGTGGAATGCGAACATTTGCCTCAATTCGTAAAAATTAAAACGGCATGCTAAATTTTAAAGCCTTTCCCAGAGTATAAACGTCGAACGAGACCTGATTTGCTACTCATTAAGTACAAGGAAAAACATTGTTTGCGGTTTGTATACAATATTTACACGAATTTATAAGGCTTTAATAAATTAACATATATACTTTACATATGTACTTATAAACTTAAGCGGACAACATTTCCCAAGAATGGTTTATGCAAGCGAATAAGAGGTCATGCAGTCAAAAGCCGGCACCCCCGCACATTTGATGCAGCTTGAGTTTATGTTGCAGGATTATCAGTATGATAAATCCAGTTATGAAATCCTTCGTGAGCAAAAGCCGATTTCAGAATGTTCCGCAGTTTATTGTCGAGAACAATGACCGACTACGATTAAAGGGGTACTTGAATTACCTTATGGCATACGTTGTGATATAAGTTGATAAATTTCGTAATCTGACTGTCTGCGGAAACTCAATATTGATTCATATTGGGCCACCTGAATGATTAGCGCCTTCCACCGTTATCGTTAAAAGTGACTACTCAACCTTCCATGCTGATCAAGAGCACACTTTTTAGGTCGCGAACATTTCTAGCCGAGTTTCAAAGCAAGGCAGCTTTGTGTGCCTCTGATGAAGACGCATTGAGTTGACATACTGATATTTTATCCACGCGCAGGGGCCAACACAATGACCTCCTACTCTGTAACCCAGACAGTTAATTAACTAAGGTGTCCCACCTTGACCATTTGTTTTACAGTCATTCTCGTCTGCGCTGATAAAACTTTATAAGGGTTTTAAAGCTTAGCAGAATAGAGAAATGAAATAACCGCCTTATAAGGCTCGATACTTCTTACTCCAGCAAACGTGCAAACATTTCTTTTGTGGTCTGACATATTTTATGCACCCGATGATTTAAAATACCATCATGTTTATGCCTACCGAGAGTATACTGCTAAAACACTGGCTAAATTCTAAAAATAGCCCCATTTTCAACTTGAGAAGTCTTTTTGTTCAACATGTGGTTTCGGCCACGTTTGTGTCAGCAAACCTGGTGTCAATTTTAAGTAATCTGTTAAGTTCCTTTAACACAGAGGGATCTAGGCAGAGCCCAGCAGACTCCTGAAGTTTGAAATAAAGCTTGCTGAAGTAAACCTGGCCGAAAACTTTGGCTTGCTAAACAGATTTTTCAAGTTAAACATGGGAACAGTCGCAGGCGTTAGACAGTCCAAAGGTCCCTCGGCATTAAGGAAACTCAAAAGTCTCCTGAAATTCGACACCAAGCTTGTTGAGGCAAACTTGACCGAAAACTTATCTTTGCCAGATATACTTCTAACTGGAGGCCTGAATACAACACTCCCTGACATAAGATAACTAAGTCACCAAAGGTTAATCGAAATTCAGAACATACTTTTGTTTAGAACTGATTACTTGAGAAGTGGTGTAACATGTTATACCATAGACCATGATCCCAAGTTGTTTCGTTCAAGTCACTATTCGGGCTTTGAATGAAGTGCTCTTGAACCACCTGTGTATACCTCGGTTCAAAGGCGGTAACTCATGCACTACCAAGCTTTCACATTGAGTTTTGACACTGCCATAAATTAAAGTATATTTTATGGAAAAGATGTTCGTATACTCTTTGGATAACAAATTAAATCTTATTAATTTTATACCTTTAAAGGGGTGCTTTTCGGCCTAGAAAAGGATATTAAAAGAGATATATCTTAAGTTAATGAAATTTCGTTTCATGCTGAAGCTCCTCTCTCCATCTACTAATGCTGCTCATTAGGTACACAACTTTGAACACATTCACTTTTATATTTATTGATTCCCATATTATATTAATTCATACGTATGTATTAAAATACGGCCATCCCAAGATAATAAATTATGAAGTTGAAGGCTCCTCTTGGAAGAGTAAAACTTCATTGTGTAAATTTTCGAGACAGGTCCCCCCGCTCGTCTTCAGACGGGATATTAAATTTGAAGAAGGTGTGATTTTCTAACAAATGGTCATAGCAATTCTCTTTTGTATTTATTTTTCCTATCACTATACTCGAATGCCAAACTCCATCGAAAATCAATAGGAAAGCTTTAAACCTACATATACAGCATCTTGTTTAACAGGCATAGGTTATGTAGGCTACAATAACTTTCCTCATTCAAAATCACTATTATAACCCCAACTAAGCAGAACTTTCTAATAAAAATTAAATGTAAGCATTAAGGTTAACATTTTTCATTTCAGGCCAACTGCTGTTATTATAAAGTTATACCGAAAGTGAACTGTTTGACTACCTAAAAGATGATCAGGAAAAACTAGATTAAACTTCATGGGTGATGCATATGCACAAAAGTAAATTCCAAAACACATTAATGTTATTTTGTGTCGCTCAGTTTCAATTATCTCGTTAAACTAATGCCGTCATTAATTCGATTGCTTATCGGCCTCCGGTTCGGTGATGGACAACTATGATGAGATATCCTTGAGTTCCGCTATAGTAAAGCACTAATAAATACTGTCAGTGCTCAAACTCTCACTTAGTCACAGGCATGAAAATTCTCCTGGGGAGGGTTTACTTTATACCATAATTCCTCGAGCTTTAAGCAAATCCTAAGTAGCCGGTTAGAGTAGCTGCTTTGGAGTCGTATACGACCGTCCAAATGCACTTTAAGTTGTCGCTTTCAATTGACTAGGGCCGGCAAAAGAAAAAAGCCGATATCTTAGCGGTCAAAGAACCATGAAGTAAGCAGAAACTTTTTATAAGTGTTGGCTGAAGCCTCAAAATTGTTTACGGCGAAACAGCGAGCATAAGCGTGCTTTCGATAAATTCTCCTCGGATCACTAGCTTTATGTGGAAAGGAGGTCAAAGGCAAAACTTGCGGTAAATACAGTGCGTCTTCTAATGCAAGTGAGTCTTGGGAATCGGGTGCGGGGGTGTTACGAGAGATGGTTGATTAAGCGACACTGAGTAGCCGTTCCAAGTGGGAGAAGAGCGAGGAAGCGCGCCGAGGAGTGCAAGTCGTTAAGTGAGCACTGACTATGGTAGGCGCGGAGCTTGCACGTACGTATTTTACATACACGAGATTGCCTCCGTCAACCTGGTAGCCGTCGCTTCTGCTGTTACTAGCAGACACTGATTTGCGGTAGCCCGGTAGAACCTTATAAATTAAAAGGAAGGCTTCGTTGGCGTGGGTTGCGAATTTTATCCGAACAATTGGTGCTGGGAATGT